CAGGTGTTGCTGCTCTTAAACCATATTCATTGTTTCTTTATGTTAGCTATTTGCTAAATGATCTTTTAAGTGGTTACTGGGAAATTTCTGATGTGTTTTCTTGGTCGTAAGGTTCACACCTTGGGTTATAATGTGAGCTTGTGTGCTCATGTCAGTGATTGTTCATTGATATATTCACTCGATGTGTGTCTCAGCTGAGCGTGTGTATGTGAGTTCCATTGGGGAGCAGGGCCCTTGGTCTCCCCTCTGATACAAAACAGCCCTGACTCATGCAGGAGTGCCGTCTGTATCTCTGCTGGGTCCTAGTGCTGAAACGTTTCCATGCACACACAGCTGCAGCTCTGCAGCAGAAATGCTTCAGCCTCTGTCACATGACACTCTCCAATCAAGTCCAACCGCATGGATGTGTGGGATGAAATGGCCCGCGGAGGGTTTGTTTCTGCTCACTGCACCCAACAGTCAACCTGCGTCTTTCTCTACTGATGGCTTTAAATGCAACGTGTTTCTCTACTGATGGCTTTAAATGCAAAGTGTTTCTCTACTGATGGCTTTAAATGCAAAGTGTTTCTCTACTGATGGCTTTAAATGCAAAGTGTTTCTCTACTGATGGCTTTAAATGCAAAGTGTTTCTCTACTGATGGCAACGTGTTTCACGTGTTTCTCTACTGATGGCTTTAAATGCAAAGTGTTTCTCTACTGATGGCTTTAAATGAGGCCTAAATGGCCTAAATGAGAAGAAACTGCGTTTTTCGTGTGTGTAATATGAAAATAAGATGGATACAACACTATTATTATTTATGAAGGCACTGAAAGTAAATCGCCCCATTAAATGTTGTGACAAATCAGCTGTCAGGGAGATTTTATGGTTTAATGGATTTGTATTGAACATTGATGTATGGATGGATGCTACAGTGGCTCACAGATAGATAGATAGATAGATAGATATATAGATAGATAGATAGATAGAAAGACATATCGATAGACAGATGTGAGATAGAACAATAGAAGATAGATAGAAGATAGACAGGTAGATAGGCAGACAGACAGAGAGACAGACAGACAGACAGACAGACAGATAGATAGATAGATAGAAAGACATATCGATAGACAGATGTGAGATAGAACAATAGAAGATAGATAGAAGATAGACAGGTAGATAGGCAGACAGACAGAGAGACAGACAGACAGACAGACAGACAGACAGACAGACAGACAGACAGACAGACAGACAGACAGACAGACAGATAGATAGATAGATAGATAGATAGATAGACAGATGTGAGATAGATAGATAGATAGATAGAAAGACAGACATATCGATAGACAGATGTGAGATAGAACAATAGAAGATAGACAGACAGACAGACAGACAGACAGACAGACAGATAGATAGATAGATAGAAAGACATATCGATAGACAGATGTGAGATAGAACAATAGAAGATAGATAGAAGATAGACAGGTAGATAGGCAGACAGACAGAGAGACAGACAGACAGACAGACAGACAGATAGATAGATAGATAGATAGATAGATAGACAGACAGACAGACAGACAGATAGATAGATAGATAGATAGATAGGCACATGGATGGATGCAGCTGCTATGTAAGATTTCCTTGTTTGTTCTGCACAAATGCGGAGTGTTTCTGCTCAGCTCAGTGGGTGAGGGTGAAAGGTGACGCCGCTGTATCTTTGATGGCGCACGTTTAGCCTGTTTCTCACCAGAACACCGGGTGCCAAACGGCACATTAGTCCGGGTGAAACTGAAGAACAGAATACACAAACCTGCCACAGTCCATTGCGCTCCCCTCATCTGTGACACATAGGCACACTCGCAGAAAGGAAAAAATGCCTCTATAAATAGTCTCCCGGCCCCTCCCCCGCTTTCTCTCTGTTTTTCCCTCACTTCCTCAGCCCTGGAGCCTGTGTGCTTTCCTGTCACTGTGCTGGAGAATCACAGCCTCCTCTCTCGCCCTTCCCCCTCTGCTCTCTCTCACTCTCTCTGAGGAGGAAGAGGAGGCAGAGGTCAACTATCTCCAGGCTCTTGCCTCGCCCCTCGCCTCTCCTGCATCTCTGAAACCCCTGTGACATCATGCAGGCGGCCCCGCCCACTCAACCATCCCCGAGCCTTAATTGGCTGGGTCGTGTTGCATCAGTGTAGCAGTGGTAGTGTAAAACACAGACCTTCCCTTTGAATTCAAGACACGTGGTTAACCGCGAGCGCAGCCGTGTTTATTAATGCTGTCAGGTGAGTGAGTTGTGTAAAATCACACAGCACATGTGTTCGGTGTTGTCATCTCTATTGTTCAGGTCTGGTTAGCAAATGTGCTCTGCATCATTGCCTTTGAAGGTCATAAGGTCATGAGTACAGAGTTCCACAGAATGCAAACGCTCAACACATTGTTTATGGAATATTATTGAGAATATGATCATGCTTTCACCCAGTCTATAGTATACACTAAACAAAACAATAGTTTATAGTTATAGTATAGTTTTAATATTGACTGAGTAAGGCCATGTCAAAGATTGAAATCATAGTGAAATTAGATTCAAGATTCAAAAAACTTTATTAATCCCAGAGGGAAATTGCTTTCCATGTTACAATTGCTCTCAAGAAAGAAAGAAAGAAAAGATAATAAAATGAATAAATATATACCTATATATCAATAAAATTAAAAATGAATAAATAAATAACAATATAACACATATAAATAATAATATAAAAACTATACCAGTGAAAATGGTAGTTTAGATCAAATATAAAATTAATTAAAGTGAAAACAAAAATTGAAAATGTATGTATGTATGTGTGTGTATATATACACATAATTACACAATATATAAATATATATAGATAGATTTTAAGTGAATGTTATATGAAATATTTCATACACACAAAAATACTTAATGTAATATATATATTACCTTTTAAAAGATTACTAGAATGATGATTATAATTATTTTTTATTTAGATTTATTTTATTTTTATGATGTTCAGATATTTTACTGGAAAAAACTATATTAAAATGTATAATGTATTATAAATGCATTCATAATGTATGTTAAATACATTATATCTTTTCATAAATTATTGTAATTAAAAACTAAAAAACGCAGGTGTTGTGCAATTCAGGGTAATGCATAATATTTCTTAAAGGTGTAACAGTAAATAGATTAATATTATAATGTATTATAAATGTGGTTACAATTCTTCATAAGATCATACAATACATTATTAGGTGCATTACAGTACATATTTAATGCTTTAAAAACACTTCATAATGCATTACATATACAGGCTTCAAGTAAAGTGTTAAGGTTTTTTTTTTTTTTTTTTTGCAGTGTAAATATATATTTTTACTTTTACACTGTTTTGGGCAGTAAATGCTTTGACAGATTCACCATTACCTTTACCTGAGTGTTGTTTTGCATTACCCAGTTTTTTATACCATCGAATTCAACCCAGACTGCAAACACAACTTTCTTCTGCTAATAAGAGAGCAGTCTTGACGTATTTAAATCCCACCGTCCCGTTTTAGTGCTGCTCCCCTCTGCTAATGCACCTCAGGAGGTGCTGAGAGCCGCGGGCATGCCCTGTGCAGGGTTTGTGCAGTGTAAGCCGATGGGCCCTGGAGAGGAGGGGTTGAGATAACAGACCCCTGTGCTGCATTGCAGTGATGCCTATCAAGGCTCATCATCACGGCTGTCTGCCATAGCGGCCCATTATGAGGCCAAGGTGAGAGAAAAGTAGTGCTGACAGCTGCCTCACAAAGTCAACTTTAATGCTACTTCAACATTTGCAGCACCATCTCAAACACCTGCAGATCCTGCAGAAACACCAGACACCAGCACAGATGCTCATCAGAGTATAGCTGTTGGTTCTGATGGTGAAACGAAGAGAAATGTTTATAAATGCAATCCATTCAATACTGAAAGGTATTACTAAATGTAGTCCAATATAGTTACAAATCTGTATTATCCACTGATCTATATATAATGATAATGAAATATTCTCTATTATAGATCAGTGGTCTTACCCAATATGTGTGTGCAGTTTATATATTTAATAATCATAACATTTTAAGAGGTGATTTATTTTAATGCCATAGGTCTTGCCGAAACACAATATGATGAATATGTAGAATATGAATGCAAGAATATATTTTGTTTTTCACATTTAAAATATATAATTCATCTGTTCCTTCTAATGCCAAAATATATTAGAAAATATGCTTTAAGGTATATGTATGCTTTATATATATATATATATATATACTGTATGTTTCTGAAAATATTATGGAGTGATTTGAAACTCCTATGCAAATTACATAAGGAGTAGAATATTTATGTTATTGTCAAGTTATGTTATTTTCAGTTAGGATGTTGTCTATACAGACTGCAGACAGTAAGACAGACAGCTCGCTAGGTTTTGGAACAGAGCCATTGTGTTTTCCGATGCTGGTGTACTTAACTAGCTTAGCTAACAAGACCCAAGGTGTAAAACGATGTTAATCAGAGGTGAAAGAGCAACATCTGAGGAATATCATTTTCCTTGGGTCATTTACTGTATGTTGTATCCATGGATGAGTCCCTGCTTCCTGATTGCCGTGGCAGCACATGTATGCCAGCGGTGCCAGCAGTCTGCTGTGGTGTTGCCGGGTGACGCCTGTCTGTGTTCACACCCGCAGTCACATGACCAGCTGGTGCTGGAGCTGTGAAAGAGCCATCAGTGTGAATTCACCAAATCCTCGCACACAGACGAAAGCCAAAATGAAATTGAGCTTTCAGGCACAAAACAATGAAGATGTTCCCTTCTATAAAAGAAGCACAACTTTGACATTTTAATCGTATTTTGGCTCCAGTTACAGAAATGTCATTTTACCCAGCATACTGCTCTATCGGTCACTTTGATTTACTGTCTGTATGGAGTATCCTGATTGGGACAGGACGCTGGTATAGTTATTGATCTGACTGTCTCTCTGTGTCTTTCTCTCACAGGTCTAATTGTGTATCTGGGTATGATGGTGGGTGCCTTTGTGTGGGGAGGTCTGGCTGACAGAATCGGCCGCAGACAGACTCTTCTTATCTCTCTCTCCATCAATAGTGTCTTTGCTTTCTTCTCCTCCTTTGTCCAAGGATACAGCTCTTTCCTGTTCTGTCGTCTGCTCTCCGGTGTGGGGTAAATGCACAGTTCACAACACCTACAGTCTCTTTTACATTTATTATATATAAAGGAAAAAGAAAACAATTCCCGCACACTATATAGTTTACTTTTTGCCCATTTTGAATTAACATTTTTTATATTTTCAGTTGTCATTTTCATTTTAGTTAGTGATTTTATGTGCTTTTGTCATTTTTATAAATTTTAGTTTTTTTAAGTTTCTGTACATGTAACTTTAATGTATTATAACCATTAGTTTTATTAATAGTTTTATTTTTATTTTTAGTAATACTAATACTTTTGCTTATTTTATTTGACTTCTGTAAGCTGTGAAGTCGCAGCATTTCTATTTTTCATTTAAATATTTTCATCTATTATTTCTTTTTTATTTTATTTCAACTACATTTCAATTAACAAAATATTTTTAATAGTTCTAGTTTTTTTTTTTTTTTTACCAATACAAATTATGATACACTCCAAAAAAATATATTTGGAAGTTGAAAATTAAAATTAATGGATTAATAGAGTGTGTTTTACAAGCAAATACTTAATCAGTCTTTTTACTTCAAAATTTCATGTTGAATTCAATGTGTTACTTGCCATTTCTTTGTCATTTTTGCTGAAATTTACTAAAAACTTGAATTTGAAAATTGTTTCATTATTAGCAAATCCTACAGAAGTAAATTGTACACCAATTGTTTTCAGCATATATTATAAACCTATTATGAAATATGGTGGAAGGACAGATTTTCTGAATGTATATAATTTATTGAAATATTATATTTAATGAATTAAATAAAATTTCTATAGGTTAATACACATATGATCTAATGATTCTGGAAATACCCAGAATTTTCACTGTAATTGGTTATAATGTAAAAAATAAAATAGTAATAAAAACAGCAGTTACCTTATTTTCAATTTCATTCCATTTTAATTCTACTTCCTGGTATTTTTACTAGCTCAATTCAAATTCGAAAAATTATAATGATGCACAAAATTTTACACTGTTTTGTTTAATTTTAAATGAGATATTCTATTTTTTTTTTAAATGATGCACAATATCCTAATAATGGAGTCCCTCTCTGTTTTGTGCTGTAGGATCGGTGGCTCTATTCCCATCGTGTTCTCGTATTACTCCGAGTTTCTGGCTCAAGAGAAGCGTGGTGAGCACTTGAGCTGGCTCTGCATGTTCTGGATGATTGGAGGCATCTACGCTGCTGCCATGGCCTGGGCCATCATTCCTCACTATGGTAACCATCATGCTCTCATTGTTTGGGTGGTGTTCTGTAGCTTAATGGTTAATTGATCTCAGCTGGTAGCTAAAAGGTTGTAGCTCCATTAACTATCACCACTGTGCCCTTGAGCAGGACACTTAACCTCAGCTTACTCCAGAGGGGACTGAACCGCTAACTTAAGATGCAGATGTCACTGAAAGTAATTCCTCCAATTATCGTGTCGTGATGATCAATGAAGGATTTAGGGACAATGTTAAAAGTGGTTATAAATCTCATCAGCTTATCTTCAAAAGTATAACATGATTTTAAAAGCCTACTTGCCATGAATACCAGCAATGTCAGTCACTTGATTTTTTTGCCATAATTAATCCTAAAACATTGTCCAAACAAGCTTGCGCACAAACTGTTCCAGGTGTGGCTTGGGTGATGACTGTTAATTATGTTATATGTGAATATTAATTATGCACTAAAGTTATAATTCAATGTAAAAAGTGGTAACCTGTAATTGTTATATTAAAGAGCTATTTCTACTATACCCAATCTTACCCTTAAATGTAGTTTTGTTGATGTATCCTAAAATACTCAGGTTGATTCAGTAATGTTAAATAATTTTTTTTTTGTTTGAATAAAATCAATTTAACAAAATTAATTTGACCACATGAAAAACATTTTTAGCTCACCATTTTTTTCAGTGTGGTTTCTCTGTCCCTGAAAGACTGAAGTCTATATAATTTATTAGTTGTAAATTAAGTGGTATTTTTTAGCATTCACTCTTTAAAAAGTTTACAGTCAAAAAATGGAAACATTTTGATATCATTAATTATTTTGGCTATTTTATGACTTTGTAAATGTTCATTTAGTGCAGGGTCAGAAATTAACAAGGGCTTGGGGCCTTTGTAAAATAGAACCAAAATCACAAAAATATCACCCAAATGCAAGATGCAGGGGCAAAAAAAAAAAAAAGCGGGTGCACAATTAAACAAAATTAATTGTGATTGGAATCATAATTGATTTTGTTGAAATGTGAAAATGCATGAAAGGACATTACATTTAGTTCCTGTTTTTTATTTGTATGTACTTTTGAGGCTATGTAAAATTGCATTCATCTCATAGCATATTTACAAACAAAGTAAGATGCAGCTTCTGTGCCACCTTTGACTTTTTTAGATGTTAATAAGATTTTGTTGGTTACAGTCTATAGTATTCTGATTATAGTATTCTAAATTGATTGGATTAATTGAATAAATCCAAGAATACAATACAAAGGTAAAAAAAAATGCCCCTCGACATCAATTCCATTGGGGAATGTTGCCCCTTAATGGAAAAGTTTGTTTCTGAGCCTGATTCATTGCAACTAGTAATATATGCCCTTTCCCTTTAACCAGGCTGGAGTTTCCAGATGGGCTCAGCCTACCAGTTTCACAGCTGGCGAGTGTTTGTGCTGGTGTGTGCGTTCCCGGCCGTCGCCGCTATCGCTGCGCTGACCACCATGCCAGAGAGCCCACGCTTCTTCCTGGAGGTTAGTGACGTCCCACATCCCGGCTTGGATCTGTTTTTTGGTTCATGCTGTAGGTGTAATGCGTAATGTGTGTGTTTTAACAGAACGGAAAACATGATGAAGCATGGATGATTCTGAAGCAGGTCCATGACACCAACATGAGGGCCAAGGGCTACCCGGAGAGGGTTTTCTCTGTGAGTACTGCTAGATTCACCATCAGAAAGAACAATAACATTAGCACGGAAGTGATCTGTGGAAATGTTCATTTCTCAGTATGAATTAGAAATGAATTATGCAGCCACCCTAATGGGTTTCCATTTATCTGGCCGAACTGGAGTTAAATTGGCTTTAATGCACATTTAATGAAGGTCAATAAAGTTTTTATTTTTTATTTTGGGAACTTAAACAACATTCTGTAAGTATTATGGACCCTTTTAAAGTCTGCAACGATTAGCATTGTAAATCTTAATCTTGTTAATTAGACACGGCTCACCTCTCATTGCCAAGTACTGTAGTTAATATAGGCTATTCCTACCAATTAGCCACACAAAACTGAGAATATCAGTGAAGTATGAAGGCACATTTTGAAGCATGCTGTGAAATCCTCAGGTCACCGCTATTAAGACGGTGAAACAGATGGATGAGCTGGTTGACATGGGTGGAGAGGCCACAGCCTGGCATCAGCGCTGGAGGATCAAGCTGACCAACCTCTTCCATCAGGTAGAGTACGATAACACCGCAAAAATCACTCAAACAACAACTACCAAATGAAATTTTAATTTCAAATGATCTACAGAGGACATATTCTATTCTTTTGCACATTTCATTTTATATCAGTCTAAGTTTCTTGCACCAAAAATTCATTGTTTCATTGAACACTACTGCTCAAAAGTTTGGGGTCAGTAAGTTTTTTCTTCCATTAACACTTTCATTCAGCAAGCATGCATTACATTGATAAAAAGTGACAGAAATACATTTATAATGTTACAAAAGATTTATATTTAAATACTGTTCTTTTGAAAATTCTATTCACCAAAGAATCCTGAAAAAAAATTATCACGTTTTCCACAAAAATATTAAGCAGCACCAGGGCTAAAGCTATTAGAAACAATTTTGTTAACCTCAAAACAAAATAAAAAATAATTAATAATAAAATAGTAAATGAAGAAATACATAGTAGCTCTTCTTGGCAACTAACTAAAATAATTTTATGTTGAAGCTCTAAAATGACTAACTGGAAATAAATGACACTGAACTAAAACTGAAATAAAAAAATACATCTAAATAATATTTAAAAAGAACAAAAACTAATAAATATGACAAAAGAGCAAAACTAACTCAAATTAAAATAAAAACTGAAAATATAAAAATGATATAATAATAATAATAAAATAACTCTAAGCAGCACAACTGTTTTCAACATTTATAATAATACAAAATATTGGTTACACTTTATTTTTAAGGCATCCTTGTTACAGCGTAATTATACATTTAAGTACTGAGTAATATTAATTTTAATACCTACATGTACTTACTATATGGTTAGGGTTAGGGTTAGGGTTTGGTTTAGGGTTACTTGCATGTAATTACACATAATTTATTGTTATTATAATAGTAAGTACATGTAATGTGTAACAAAGACACCTTAAAATAAAGTGTTACTGAAATATATCTTAAGAAACAAATCAGCATATTAGAATGATCAAGTAACACATGTGACATGATAACTGTATTTTTGTTCAAATAAATGCAGTTTTGGTGACCTCCTTCAAAAACATAAAAAAAATCTTGTTCAACCCCAAACTTTTAAACAGCATTTTATATACAGTATGTAAATGATTGCTATTATAATTGGCTAACCTCTTTGCATGAAATAAATAATAATGCCCTCACCAATTTGCGGAGTACTGAATAGGCATTGATATGTAAATGCGGGTGGTCATATGTTAACATGCTTACGTTTTAGTGACTTTGTAACCATGGCGATTCTGATTGACACATATTTGCAGCTTAGTTTCCATAAGTTACAAAGACTAAAGTCTCTATAGTACATTGGACTCAAATAAAATGCTGCTTTATTTTGGGTTTCCAGGTGTGGAGCAACTTCCTGACAGTGTTTAATCCAGAGTACCGGAGGATCACCTACATGATGATGGCCGTGTGGTTTTCCATGTCCTTTAGGTAAACTACCCTGAACCACATGCATTTTCCAACCCATCCTATGAATGCATCTCTGCATCGTTTCATGTCTTGTTGCTCTCTGTCTCCAGCTACTATGGGCTGACTGTTTGGTTCCCTGACATGATCAAATACCTGCAGAAACAAGAGTACTCCTCTCGCACAAAGGTCTTCATCAAAGAGAAAGTAGAGCATGTGACCTTTAACTTCACCTTGGAGAACCAGATCCACCGGAATGGAGAGTACTTCAACAACAAGTAAGCGCTGCTCACAGGCAGTATGCCAGACATATTTCAGTAAATAGGCCTGGCCTTTCTATGAAAGGTGAATTGTGTTGTGACATTTGCTTGTTTAAAGGTATATTCCAGATTAAATGCAATTTAAGTGTGAGAGAATGACACAACAACCTTATCTTTTGAGCATGCCGTATCTTTTGTTTTTCTTTCATTTATGGCAGAAATCTAAGGCAGCATCATATGCAGTATTTATTAATATTTGAAATTAGCTTTAAATTGGCTTATATATATATATATATATATATAGCACTTATATTAGTGCTGTGAAACGATTAATCGCATCCAAAATAAAAGTTTTTGTTTATATATGTGTGTGTACTGTGTATATTTATTATGTATATATAAATAC